CAAATTAACAGGAGAAAAAAAACTCAGAATTTTAAACTTACAAACTGGATGAATCCAAAGGAAAGTAGAAAAGAAACAAGCAGTTTAACTACATTTATTCTTGACAGAAGTTTAATCAAACCAAACTTTTCTGTTGAAAAGTTTCTTTGGGAACCTAAATGTTTGGTTAGCAAGCTAAATATTTAGTTTGAAGTTGAATATTTAGTTAGCAACCTAAATGTTTAGTTTAGAAACTAAACATTCGACTCCATGATAAATATTTGGCTTATAAATTGAATGTTCAGTTTGAATTAACCACATACATATTTATCTCCAAACTAAATATTTAGTGAACAGAGCTAAATATTTAACTCCAAACTGCAGTAAATATTTAGTTCTGAGCTATATAAATATTTTGTTAGTTCTAACTAAATAAAGCTAATTAAATATTTAGTGGAGCTAAATATGTGTCTCCAAACTAAGCATTTACATCAGAGCTAGTTAGATATTTAGTTAGCTTTAAAGTTGCTAAATATGTAGCGTAATTACATATTCGGCTAAACAGTAAGCTAAATATGTAGCTATGCTACATTTTCCTGCTATGCTAGATATTTATCTTACTAAATAGTAAGCTAAATATAGCTTTATTTAAAGCTAGTATTTAGTTATCTTTAAAGTTGCTAAATATGTAGTGTAATTACATATTTAGCAGTAGTTTAAGCTACATATTTAGCTAGCTAGCTTTCAGCTAGCTAACTAAATATGGCATGTATTACACACGGACTGATCTCATCACAGTGAGCTTTTAAATCACTGAGCCAGATGCCGGATGGTTAGGTCTCTGAGGTGGAACATGTTTGCCAACTCTGGGAAAACCCCAAAACCTTTTACTCCTAATTTAATTACAATCTCTGATAGTTTTTTAATCTCCTTCCTTTTATGTTGCTGCAGCGAATCAAACAATCCAAACTCTGAGTTTTGCTGATTGTTTTTAGCCATTTGTTTCCTCCGCGCTGCTACTCGGCTACAATGGCTGCAGCCTGCGGTTGTCTGCAGGAAGGTTAATTGAGGTTTGTTTTGTCCAGTGATGGCGGTCCGACGCAGAGCGACTGCTGAGGCTGGACAGGCCAGGCGGGTGGAGATTTCATTAGCAGGTGCTAACCGAACCCGGCACCACACGCTGGGCTAGTCTGTGTCTCCACCTGAGACCCAAACACAAAACCCTCAACGCACCGAAATTACAACCTCACAGGTCATCTTCCCTTAAAGTGGGCATTTCTGTTTGCTGTAATTATTACCAATGGTGACACGTTAGGTTGATAAACCTCCTGATTCCGCATGTTTTCCTACCAAACAATTTTGGTTTTACGGTTTTAAAACACAGCAAAAACACAAAATCTTATCAAGTATTATTGGTTTTGTTTCATTTAAAGTAATAAAAAAGGAACTTCCAGCAAGAAATAGGAGTTTGTTTTAAATAAATAATTCCTTAATACTGATGAAAAAGTAAAATTTTATTTGGAAGATTTTTTCACTTATACAATATCAATCCACCATTTTCTTTATAATATCTTCCATTGCCTTCCTAAAACAGTGGCCTAAGTCATATTTTACAGACGTCGTCGTAAGTGAAACATCTGCTTATAACATTAAGGAATATCAATATTAAGGAACTATTGTTCAAAATATGCTCCCAAATCTTGCTGAAAAGTTACACTTCAAAAACACAAATTATTTTTAGTTTGGTTTCTAGTGGTGATATTTGGAAAAAAATGCTAATTTATCTTACAAGTAACTTTTCAGCAAGAATTATGAGTTTCTTTTATCACTATTTTTTTAATATTAATAAAAATAGTACAACTTCTATTGGAAGATTACTTCCCTTTTAACAACACATTTTCCTGTTACAAGTGAAACAATCTGCCAGTAGAACAAATACTTTGTTTATTTTTTAATATTTAAATAATAATAAAAAAGTTTTCAGAGAATATAGGAGCTTGTTTTAGTCAAGAATTTCTTAATATTGATGAAAACGTTCAGCGTTCAACTGTCAGATTAACATTTCTGGTTAAAAATAAAACAGTTCCCTATCAATATTAAAGGAATTTTTGACTAAAATAAACTTCTATATCTTGCTGAAAACTAATAAGTGTACTCAGTATTACTGCTAGAAACTAGACTAAAAAAATTAAGATTCTTGGTAAGATTCTGTGTTTTTGCAGTGTATTGCCTGAATATTTTAACAGTAATTCACATCAGATCCATCAGTCAGTTGCAGCTTTTGCATAAAAGGTAAAGACGCTCTGTGTCAAACGTTCACATGTTTGTGAAAGACGACAGACACCCGTCAGGCTCAGCAGGAGGTCCGGCCCACCATCAGACTCTCTGAGGAGGGAGGACTGCCGGCGGTGACCCGGCACAAGCTGCCAACTGCCTGCCAGCAGCAGCATCTGCTGGATCCAGAGTGACGGGCAGGATGAGGCACAGCGGGAAGGAGACCATCAAAAAGGAGAAAATTTCATTCCCTCCATCTTGATCCAGCCAGGCGTGAAAAGGAGCCTAATGGATTACGCCACCGATGCTGCAATTTCTGCTCCAGAGCATCAAAATGCTCCTCCGTGTTTCGTCTTAATTAGGGCTCGGCAATGTGACCCAAGAATAAAGTCTGAAGGATTTAAAGGAGCAGTATTATGTAAAACCGAAAGTTTTTTGTGTTCTTTCCTTCAGTGGCTCTTGATGCAGCGCCACCACAGGCGAGGAGGGGAACATGTTTTTCTATCAGTTTGGATTGTTTGACACAGAGCGTTATGAAAATGTAACAAGTGCTGCAATCTTTCTCCACCGATTAAACCAAGTCTATCAGGTGTGAAAACTCCCTTAAGGTGAGGTTATGTGGAGATGCTTCAGCAGTCAATATTTTACCCGCAGCACAAAAGAAATCTAAGTTCAGTCATTTTCAGCAGGTGGATTTTCTTAAAGCAGCCAATAAAAATCAACTCACCCCCTTCATGAGGATCCAGGTTCCCATCCCAGGAGGTCCACAAAGAAAGTCAGAAACAGGAAATTTAGTCTCATCTGTTCAGATTCAGGAATCTGTTCAGATTCAGGAATCTGTTCAGATTCAGGAATCTGTTCAGATTCAGGAATCTGTTCAGATTCAGGAATCTGTTCAGATTCAGGAATCTGTTCAGATTCAGGAATCTGTTCAGAGTATCCAAAAATTATACTTCAACATGTTTTTAGTCAAGTAAATGTAACTAGTTACTACGCAACCTGAGAACAAAGTAAAACTCTGAAAACCTTCTAGAAATCCTGGAGAACTGTTCATAATAAGACTTTAGAGAACAGTCTGGATCCCAGGAAGAAGAAAAGATGAGCTGGATACGAATCGGTTTTGTTAACAACCTAAACGCTGAGCAGTGCGGTTTGAATAAAAAGTTAAAATTCTGCCATGGTTCTGGTTTTATTTAATCTCTCTGGTGATAGAATAGCATCCTGACCTCCTGATGAGATTCCTCTTTATCTCCTCCTCATCCTCACCTGCTGTCTGAGTCTCAGCGGCGTCTTATCCACACTAATAGGATCGTCACTCTGCAGCGCCGCATTCTCCTCCATTCACTCCAATAAGCAGATTACTGACGTGTTTACGGCTCTTTGAACATTTCATTTCCTTTAAGCCAATTATTCTCTCAAAGTGCTCAGCTTTCTAGTTTCACTGCCTGGTTGCACCGTAGCAGATCCACTATCAGGGATGTTTCACATGTTTACTGCAGTCTGTTGTTGAATTTCTACTTAAAGCTGCAGGATGTGACTCTTAATAAAAAATGTTTTTTACATATTTGTTGAAGCTGTCACTGTATCACAATAGTAGAAAGTGAGACTGAATATCTGTGAAAAAACCCTGGCTCCTCTGCCTTCTCACCAATCAGAACCAGGGGGCGGATCTTAGCGCTGTCAATCATACTTGTGTGCAGGCCTGTTGCAATAAGCAACTAATTGTTTGATAAATTAAAACACATTTAATAATTTCCATTTGAATTTATTGTTTTTATCTTTTTCTACCAAAAAGTCTGCCACTTTGGTTTCAACTAACCCTTTTTTTAAGGACAATTGTGTTTATAAAGACTTTATTATAAGTTTTATTTGTGTTTCTCTTGTTTTGTTTATTTATTTGGGACATTTAAAATATCTTCCAGTTCCAGTGTTAAATGTTCATTCATCATATTTAGCAGCGCATTGACAAGAATGATTGACAGCCTTACGCCCTCCTCCTGGCAGTTTTGGTTGTTTTTGGTCGGGAACGATGCATTTCTTCAGAGGGCAATAAAAGCTCAAGGAGAAGTAGATGAGATCTATCTTTTCAGATGACCTGCCTCATGGCATAGTGATAGTTTTAGCAAATATATAAAATAATTATAAAAGTTACATACTTTAGCTTTAAAACACCAGCTGCCATTATTTACAAACTAATTGATTTTAGAGCTTATGTTTTACTCACAGTGACGAAGTCCTTATGGAGGCAGAGAGGAAACAAACAACATGGGTTAAATTGGGGATGGAAAAAGACTTGTTCCACATTAAATACATTTTCGAAGCTGAGCAGGGCTGTAAAACTTTTTGTCATGTGGGCCAAACTTGTTGAGTGAAAAGAAAAAATACTAAAATTACGCAAATAATGTCAGATCTGGGATTTTGTTGTACAAAATGGATGTTATTCATTGTAGATCCAATGAATAAAGTGACTTTATTCTGAAAAAAGATTTTAAATTCTTTTAAGCTCAATCGAACAAATATACTTTCCGTTATAAGAACTAGATTTGGCCAGAGGAACGTAGAGAACCTAAAAGTTGTACTTCAGTAAGAGTAGCACTACTTCAGCACATTTTTATTCAAATAAAAGTAAAACGTAGCAATCCAAGAGATTACTCAAGTAAGAAAGTGTTTTGTAAAAATGTTACTCGATTACTGAGTAGCTCCTCCCAGTTCATGTTCAGAAGCTGACCTTCTTCAACACGAGGCCGGGGTCCTGAGCGAGCAGCAGGCGCTGAGCGGCCATGTTTCCCACGGCTGAGCTCCTCAGCCAGTCCTTCTCCAGTGGATCCAGCTGAACCCTGTGGAACAGAGACTGGCACACAAGAACTTCTTCAGCTCAACGGGAGGATGAAGCCCAGAGATGTTGAGGCTCCAGTTCAGAGAGCAAATTTAAAAAGGCAACGTATGATGGAAAATTCACATTTTACAAGTTTTTATATTTCCATTTGGGGCTTCTACTGCTTCTAAAAACAGACCAAACGCCTAAAAAAACCGACGCAGCCATTTTTAGGCAACCACTTTATGCTTTTGGTGCGTCATTCCAAAAACCTTCAGAATGTAAAGTCACACATCAGCAGGAACTGCCCCTGAACTAGTGACCTCTGCCGAGCTCAACCCGTCACCTAGCAACCCCAGCAGAGTTCTGCCCGTCACCTAGCAACCCCAGCAGAGTTCTGCCCGTCACCTAGCAACCCCAGCAGAGTTCTGCCCGTCACCTAGCAACCCCAGCAGAGTTCTGCCCGTCACCTAGCAACCCCAGCAGAGTTCCAATGCTGGTTTTGTCTTACCATCCAGAACCAGAACCCACTTCTCTACTTCTGCTTTTCAATGCACATCTGTTTGCAGCCATTTTCACACGCCAGTGTAAACATTGAGTAGGGGGGCGTGGCCAGCAGCAGGGGATTTTGATTTGAAGTGACAAGACGCCCTAAAACAGTTCAAAATAGTCGGAACAGAACAGACTAAAATCTCATTATCTAAGAATAAGGTTACGCAAAAATGTAATGGACATGTTGTTCAACATTAGCATTAGCATGCTCCATTAGTGTGATGTAATTTCCTCAATGATGAGGAAACTTGCAAGCATAGTCAGCACACACACACACACAAACACACAGATTACATCCTCATTCACAACATTCAAAGGAAGCAAGTTGTGAATTAAGACACGTTTGTGTTTTTGCAGCAGCAGATTTCTTTCTCTGCGAAGGACAGTGTAGAAAAGACAAACTCGTCCTGGTTGCCCTTTCGTCCCGGCAGGGGCCTCGGGCCGTGGAAGGGTCAGGATGTCATTAGCGGCCTGTGGGGCCGGCGGCACTGTTTACCTGATACCTCCGTGTTAATTAGAGCGGCTGAGCAGCTCAGAGGGAGGCCGTCCTTCAACCCGACAGCGCAGCGCGGCTCCGGGCCAAACGCTTGCTGCTGCCGCACATTTACAAAAACACTGAGACTGATTTTACACAGCTAAATGACATCAAAATATATTTGTGAAGGTAAGAATCTCTCTTTGGTTTCAAGTATTTCTGTACAAATATCTTAGTACAGTTTAAACAAAACTAACTTACAAGTGCCTTTTCAGTAAGACATAGAGGCTTGTATTAAGTAAAAACCTTGCACCACTGGTAGATTATTTATCAGAATTAATGAATTATTCACTTAAAACACTCCTATTCTTGCTGAAAGTAAAGTAGTATAGTTGAAATAAGACAAAACTAAGGAACATTGAAGTAAAAGCTTTGTGAAAATAGTTGGTAATACTTTGTTTTTGCAGTCGGCTCTCTGACTAAACCGCAGCAGGTTCCAGAGCCGACCTCCGCTCATCCCCAGTTACCCTGTGGTTCCAGTCTGACAGCAGTGGGAGGCCGTCCAGCCAATGAGCAGCCGGCTCTGCGTCCCAGACGCCGGTGATTACGGGGAATCATCATGGGAACGGTTTGGGGGCAGTTTGTTTGGAAGCTGGTGGCTAAATGATGCTCAGCAAACATTTACACTGCAGGGTTCACACACACACACACACACACACACACACACACACACACACACACACACACACACACACACACACACACACACACACACACACACACACACACACACACACACACACACAGAGATCACATCTTTCTATCTTTACAAGGACTCTGCATCGACTTCCATCCATTCATTCATTTCAATAACCTTTACTTTACTCTGTACCTAACACTTAATATTAACATGTCTCACCACAAACCTAAACTCACTTTATGTCTTAGTCCTAAACCTGACCAAGGGCTCTCCAAAGTGAGGTGCAGGGGCCACTTGTGGTCCTTGAATTAATTGCGTTTGGCCCCAAACCACAGTTAGAGTGGCACTAATTGGGCCCCCAACATTTTTTGTAATTGTTTTAGGATGAGCTTTTATGTGGCAAGTTTACATCTTTTTAAATGGAAAATGTTAAGAATTTTTCTTTAGTTAGCTTTCTCTTCTTTTGGCTTTTAATTTCATAATTATAAACATGTTTTCACTCAAAAACAGACTTTCAAGTATTCTTAGATATTTGCATCTTAGTACATGGAGATACAGTATTATCTTAGTAGCACAGATTGTTTTTATGTGCGGTTTTTGTCTTCAGGAGATTGTTGAACGTACCAGAAAACACTGTAAGTAGATCATTTAAATGAGTGAAAAACACACAAACACACACAGTTTCTCTTAAACTGACCATGACAGACGAAGCGGTGACGCTCCTCGTATCGTCCTCTTCACTCTGCAAAACATCAACCCCAATAAAACGCTTAATCTGATTCATGGCTTTTCTAAAAACACGTTGACATTTTACACATTGGCAGTTTGTTTTTCAACTGGTTTTCGACATTTTACTGTCAATAAGTACATTTAACCAGAGCCGATTCTACGTTAAGTTTTTAAATGAGGATAAAAATGTCAAGTAAGATTTATTTTTCCTTCAAATGATGCTGACCTCCTAATCGTACGGCTATAAACCAGAACTTTGTGATTCCAAGTGTGCTTGGGCGCCCCCTGCTGGTGCATTGTTGAGCTGACAACAATGCAGAATACCAGAATGAAATTTAAAGGTTCAAAATGTTTTCCAATGTTATGCATTTTGCCTAAAAATCTTTTTCTGATTTTCTCCAAAGCAGAAGCGAAACATTGAAGACAAAATAAAAACAAGCATAAACTGAATAAGTTCCTCTGCTTTTCAAATTTAGAAGTTTTTCCCTAAAATCCTAAAATTTCTCGTCATTCAATAAAATATTTTGGTTCAAAAGGAAAAACAAATGTAAGTATATATTCTTGGACAATGGTTTTCTTTAGGATACCACAAATTTAATGCATTCTTTAACTGATTTTGGGCTGAATATGGTATTTTGTTTTTATTTCACTGGTTTAATTTTTGTTTTAGGTTTTAACTCAGATTGCTTTGGAAATGAAAGTTATTGATGTTTAGTTCTGCTGTACATATTTGTATCCATTCTGAAAAAATCTTTCATTACACTTTTAAAATTTTATTTTGTGCAGGTTTAATATTTCGAGTGGGAACTGGTTTTGCAGCAGTTTATGGTTTGCTTTGACATGGTTTGTTGTTGTGTTTGTTTTATGGAGTTTACTACCAGTTTGTGACATTGGGAGTAAATGTTTGGACATAACTCAAACTGTTTGAACCCAAATGTGTCTTTCTACTGTTTTGGGAAATGTGAGTAATTTTGGTCCCATTTTTTTATTTCTGTTTCAGTCAAATTTTAAAAGTTGGTGATGAAGTTTTATGGATGTTTGGTACTGGTTGTAACGAGTGCTGGTCGTGGTCTAGATTTAGATTGTTTTGTTCCGTTTTATTGGTTTAATTGCTCTTTTGTTACCTTCAATTGTTGATTTGATCCAGAATAACTTGATGCAGAAATCCAGACTCATATTTGCTGTTCTTCTCATTGCTTGGGTTGGTTTTAAGATACGAGCTGAAGCCTCTTATTTTTGGTGTTGATGATATGAAACGTGAATATCTGGAACAGAATCCCTAAGAGGATTGTTGGGGGGGAGGAAACAATCGCCTTTTTCCTGCAGCGTCCCGGTGATGTGATGGACGTTAACTGTGTTGGTGTGTTGCTGAGGAGGGATTCCCAGGAGACGAAGAGGAGGAGGAGGAAGCTGCTCTTCTTCTACCTCATTAATAATCCAACACAGTCTCAGTGTCTCACTAAATGATTGTGGCTCGTTTCAGAGGTGAAATAAAGGTAAGAAAACAAGAATTTGGACGTCCACAGTCGCTGATTTAATGCTTGCTGAGAAGATTTCAGTGAAAGTTTATATCTGAAGAAAGAGATGATTTCTGTGGTTTTATTTGGGGAAAAAGTTCACAGACGTAGGAATTAAATCTTCAAAAACTAATAATTCAATTAATAGATAAGATCAATTTATCACCCAGCCCTAGACTAAACCGAACTCCAGCTTGTTTATGTAGAGAGTCCGGTTTGCTTGAATAGGTGTGAATAATTAAACTGTATTGCCAATCAAAGAAGTGAACTCTGCAATACTCGGCCTTGGTTCGATTGAAGTGAACTCTAGATCAGTTTGAATGCATGTGAACGCCAAGCGGATCTGAGGTTGCTTCTAAAGCAGGAAGCAAACGATAGCGCATGGCATTCTGGGTAAATATAACAAAACAAATGTGCAAGTCAACGCTGACTGAAGAAATGATTTGTGGTTTTCTACAACCGCTAAAATATGACACCGTTTCATTTTTGTTACATTTTGAAAGGAAGGAAGTTGCGCTGAGCTTCTTCTTCTGAAGAATTTGTGTCATTTCCTCCAATGGTTCTCGGTGCAGCGCCCCCTGAGGCAAGGAGGGGAACAGGTTTATCAAAGGACTGGGATGAAAGTGAACTACAGCAGCTGAAAATGTAACAAATTTTGCAAGGCTCGGTCCAGTTAAAGCGAGCCTTCTCACCTGATGGTCAAGCATTCACTTTGTTTGGTCCTCATGAGAGTTTGATTACGGATTCAAACCTCCCCGAACAAACCAGACATTCTAGAAAAACCAAGTAGAGTTTGATTAAAGCGGACTAAACCGTGCTGGTGTGAACGCCCCCTAAATCTGCTTCTTTACATTCAGTAGAGTAAACCGTGTGCGGTAGGCTGCTGCGGTTGGTGAGAGTCCCCTCACGAGACATCAGCTCCTGCAGAACATCTCCGTCAGTTCGGAGGGGACAGGAATCATCTCTAGCTTTTCCTCTGTTTTGCATAACAAAAGCTTTTCCCAGCCACTTCCACTCCGCCGTCTATTCATCCAGTGAAAACACAGCCGGCTGGTTTCTCCTCCCCCCTCCTCAGATCTCCTGTCAGACCCCCCTGCTGCCTCCTCTTCATTGCCATCCAGGAGTGGCTCTCTTGTATGCCAATTGCCTGTCCTAATTGGTGGCGTTTACAAGGTGCTGCCGGGCGCTGGAGCCCTGCAGAGCGGGTAAAGGAGGCAAAGAGCAAAGGGAGGTAAAACCTGAGGGGTCGAGGTGCAAAACGATGGAGGAGGAGGCGCAACATTTAGAAGGGAGAGTTTGATCTGACAATGTTTCTATTTTAGGCTGACTTGACCTTTAAAGTTGTTGTTTTTTAAACTTGTTCTCACTGAATAAAGACACCTGACTACACTGCAAAAACAAAAGATGGTACTAAGCATTTTGGTCTAGTTTCTAGTGCAAATATCTCAGACTAGAAATTAGGGAAATTTAATTTACAAGTAACTTTTTAGTAAGAGGTAGTAGCATGTTTTGTGTCAATAAATCTTAAATATTGGTAGAAACCTGCAGACATTTTCACTTACACTATATTGACTTAAAACAAGCTCCTATACATTGGTGGAAGGTTTGATGTACAGTAAGTTAGATTTGTCTTATTTCAAGTGTAGTAAAATATTTTTACTCAAAACTAGACAAAAGATGGCAGGTTGTTGCAGTGAATGGCTTAAAAATAAAATTTCAGATTTTTATTTTAATTCAGTTTTTTTTCTCGCTTTCTTTTCTGAAACAGAAATTACAAATGTCAGGAAATATTTTCAAAAAGAGGCTTTTATTTCTGTCACTCCTTCTGAGTTGTACGTTTGGAGTATTCGTTCTCAATTATTTTTTCTTTTAATTGTTGAAATAATATATATGTAACATATATGTTTTTTAGGTGTGCTAAGACTGTTTTAAGGCAGGCCTTATAAAACAAAACAATTTTAGCAAATATGTTTCACCTTCTTAGATGTTTATTTTAACCTCTTATTTTCAATCAAATTTAATTGCTTGTTTTATTTTTAGTCCTTTAAGTTCTCAGGATTAAAAGGACATTACAAATAAAATGTGTTATAATTATTAAATATTTAGACTTATATTTATTAAACCTTTTATTTGAGTTAAATATTTTAGCTTGTTTGCTGCAGTTTGTTGGTTTTGATGATTTCTATGAAAACTTCCACTCATAATGAAAACAAATAGCTAATAATTAGCACTGAACTCATTGATCCTTCCTGCTAGAACGGTTTAAAATCATCAAATTCCTAGATGGCATTCGATCCTGCACCGCCACCAGAGGCAGACCCGTCTCATCTTGATGATGAGGAGAAGCTCGTTGCCGGACCTTCGTCATTAATTCACGTTTTTTCACAACTCGGCGGGTCTGGAACTGAGACGTTCCTCCACAGTCCAGGATCAAAACGTCTTAAAGCCTCCGATGAAATCCGCTCCACTGACACAGGACTAAGCTTTATGGCGTGAAGAGACTCCATAATCCCACTTTCCTGAAGGTCGTAAGGAGCGAGGATGTTGGAGCTTTACCCATCGTTTAGTGGAAATGAAGTTTGAGGAGGTTAAACCAAACTTCTGAAACACAGAGATATTGGCGCAGACATCTGAAGGTTTATTAGTTGTGATTGGATCATCTGACGATCTCCAGGCTCTTCTTATGATACACAAAACAATTAGATGCAGATTTCTGGTCTCTGATTATTGTAATGAATAATGAATGGAAAACTGATTTAAAATAATTATATGAGTGGAGAAACTACAATATGTAGCAAATTCTGTTTTTTAAAGGGGATCTATGATGCAAAATTCTCTTTTTGTATAATATATATTTTAGAAGCAGGTTTCTACTGCTTCTAAAAACAATCGCAGTTCTTAAAAACAAAACACAGAGCTGCTTTTAGACAATAAGTTTATGTTTCTTGGTGTCTGGAAATGAGCTGTTTCAAAAACGTCCAGATTGTTGAATCCCACTGCGCCGTTACCCAGCAGCCCCAGTCGAGTCCAGCCCGTTTGGTCAGCTGATTTTACCCCTCTAGCGCTGTACCATGGCTACTAGAAAAGACAAGTGTTTTATTGTTGACTTACCATCCAGAAATCACTTGTTCCATTCTTGTTGGTTGTGCAGAAGGCTCTACTTCTGCTTTTCAAAGATAATTGGTTATATAATTGGCCCTCCGTTTGCAGCCATTTTCACATCGTGCAGTAAACATTGAGGTGAGGGGATTTGGCCAGCAGCAGTTTGTTTGGATTTAAAGTGATAAGACGCCCTAAAACAGCTCATTCTGAATTGATCTCAAAATACGTAAAACTGACTAGATAAAAATCTCATCATCTAAGAATCACTTTGTGCAAAAATAATATGTAATGAACATGTTTTGTGTATTCCAGAGACATGTTCTAACCTGTTAGGGTAGCATCACAGGTCACCTTTGAACCTCAGTCAATACAGCAAGCATTTTTCACTAGAGAGTGACCCACATCATGTCTCTATTGCTGGGAGCAACCTGCATTTTTTTCCTTTATTTTGCAAACTAGATGTCTCTCTGTTAATGGCATGAAAAAAAAATAATTTTGGATCTACAATGATTTAAATTTCCTTTTCATAACAAAAAACAGACTTCTTTAAGTCCTCTTACTCAATCGGAATCATCTTCTTATGCTTGTCTGAAATATTCCTTTTGACTCGATCATTTTGACTCGTGACAAAAAGTTTGGACACTTCTGCTTTATGGTGTTAAGACATCATCTCATGTCTGTCAAACTGTTTCGTTTGGAGTATAAAGAAATGAGAAGTGACTAATTTTCAAGGTTTGTGCCTTTATTTCTCTTGCAGGCTTGTCTTCCTCTGTCTCTGCCTCTCTTTCATTGAATCTGAGTCCCTGCTGACAGTTTGCGCTGCTGATCTCCTTCATGACCTCTGCAGGATCTTTAACTCTGCTTCTTTACCTCATAGAGAGCAGCAGGAACACAGCTGTCTCCGTTCACGTCTGTTTCCTCAGTGATCAGAGAAGACAACTCCTCACATGTCAGCGTCTTCGAGCGAGGGAAAAAACAGCGGCATGTGTGGAGTTTTAACCTGAGACCGAGGCATGCTGGGAAGTGAAGGCGCCAAAAGTGTTGGAGACCACAGATCATGATCAAGCTGTTAGCGCAGCAAAGAAATGCTCATGTGCTTTAAACTTTGAGACGCCATATCCACAGGATTCAGCTGTCAGCTTTATAAGAAGTAACTCACCTGACAGCCACATCTCACTAAAAATCTGCAGAATGTAGCAGTTATTTCATACGATTAATCGCCAGAATGATTGATTAATCAAAAGCTAAAATAATCATTAGTCTCAAATACACATGAAAATTAATTTAAGGATATGCAACTTCTATATAAAATGTTTTTTTTAACATATTTGTTAAAACTGTCACCATGTCATGACAATATGAGACAAATAATCTGTGAAAACATCGATTTCCTCCACCTGAGCTGCTACTGCTGTTCAGGTGGAACTGAGTCACACTGCGCCGTTACCCAGCAACCCCAGTCGAGTCCAGCCCAATTGCATCGCTCCCGACCAAAAACAACCAAGACGGGTCTTAGCGGTGTCAATTAACCTCATGTACTTGCTATTAAATGTGCTAATGGCAGAAAAACAAGTTACCATTACAAGAAAATTGTTAATCTGCCGTCATCAGAGCGATGACGGCAGATTATCACTGCTAACTAGCTACGCATTTATAACATGATCTGCAGACTGGGAAAAACTGTAGCTTAGCACAAAGAAAGGATCGGAGAGGAGGAGGAGGATTAGCAAAATTGTGATTGACTGCAAAGAACCGCCTCTGGGCTCTGATTGGTTGTTTCTGTTTAAAAGTTACATCCTGAAGCTTCAATGCTGCTTATTTTTCTGCACAAGAACATTCATGAACAACACAACTGCATATCGTAAATAATAACTATTGTTTCCCAGAATAATCCTTGTCCATGTGGCTCTATAAACTCTTGAAGATCTTGATCTGGAAAAGCTCAAACTTCGGTCCAACCGAACCAGTAAAACCAGCAGCTCCCTTCCAGTGATGAAATCTCTCCCCTCATTATCATATTAATTGAGATTTCCCAACAATCGTGTTTTGCTAATGGACGTATTGAGAGGCGGCGAGTGTGAGTGAGGCAGTTTTAATGAGACTGATACCCGCAGCGCTGCAGCGTCTTATCTGTCGATGGGGAGCCCGGCCTTATGTAATCTGCCCTCTCATTCGCCGCCGCCACCGCTTGATTGTTTCTGATGAAAAAGCCATTTTGGAACCGCCGCCGCCTTCTGTTCTGCAGCGTGGCCCTCGATGTCGGAGGCTCCAGGGGTCCAACGGGGTCAAAGGAATTATGATTACGATACAGCGTCATTGGCGGGCTCGTCGTTGCCCCGGTGACCCCTCCGCGGAGGCGATGATGAAAATGTTACATGAGCGTTTTGTTGAGAGAGACGGCAGCCGTTGTTCAGTTCAGAGGTTCGTCTCGACACGGCGGGGCCCGTTTAAGTCTCTGGTACCCGGCAGGATGAGATTCACATGTAAATCAGCTGGAGATTCAAACACAGCCTGAACTCAACACGTGTTTGCTGACACCAACAGAGAGGGTCGTTCACAAACCAATAAATGAAACTGAGGGGAAAATTACAGGACTATAATGGAGATGATTCAGCTTCTATTTTTTATTTGGCCTCGATCCGTAAGTTTGACCCGTTAACATCTGAGGCGTCTGATCAGACACAAATAAGGTCTAAACCTAATGGACAGTTCTATGGAAAGCTGAGTTGTACATTAATGGCATATTTTCCAGCATCACATATCGTCTGAAAACTAACGGTGTGACTTTGGTTCCTTCTCACTGGTTCAGAAAGTGGAGTTAGGAATTGCAAATGGTGGTTTGATTCAATGTTGATTTAAATATTTCCATACTGATTTAATAATAAGTGGTAGGTACATAATTTATTGGAAAACCTATTAATAATTTTATGTATAACTATTTTTTTAATTATATCTACCCATATAAACAGCCATGGTGGAATGTATTCATATTTTGATCAGCAAAAAAAAAAAAAAAAAAAAAAGCATGATAGCACTAATGGAGTACAAATTTAAAACATGATAGTATTGTACTAAATCTAATGCAAAGTGTATGTCAATAATTCTATTTTTATATGCATAATTTTCGCAGAATTTTTAAACATATGTACATAATATTGTTATTATGACCCACATTTCTCACCAGTAGGTGGTGGTAATGTTCATAAAACAGCTGTTTGCCAATCGCCAATAAACTCAAGAAGAAGTCAAATTCAAATCTGAGTACAAGCAGAATCAAGTGTGCCGTAAATCACCGTTTTTACCATGCATCGACATAAAAAACCATACAAAAAACACTGGTTTATGGCTTAGGACTCCACAAAATATGGTGAAAATTCTGTCAAAGTGGCGCTTTTTATGCCTTCATAAGAAAACTTTCTCAACACTGAAAATCATGCCGTTTATCATCGAATGCTGCTTTGAACGCCGTCAAAAGTAAAAAGCTGCGTTCAGTGACCTGGATAAACACCATAATCTTCAGCTCTCTTGAAAACGTTGTTCACCATAGTTTAAACCCACTAGCCAGGGGATCTAATCGATTTACAGGGTTTTCCAACTCGATTTGGAAGTTACAGCTGGACATATCGGGGCAAGGTGAGACACACACTCTCATCTGAACGTGTGTTTGATGCCGTTTTACTCCACTCACCCTCCTGGAGATGTTCAGCTCGCTGGTCACGGAGCAGGAGTCGCTCCTTGGAGACGGGAGGTCACAGAAGTTTGGGTCTCCTCCATCGCCACCGGCGGTCAGATTGCTCACGCTAATGGCTGCAGGGATCACCAGGTCCGGAGGCCGCACTGCTGCTGACTGACGAGCCTGGAGATATGAGACAGATTCAAGTCAGAGCTACACTGTAAAATAATTAACTGGTTCTGATTAATATCAATGGGTAGAATGAGGGTTTGTTTCCACTAAAGGCATCTTTTCAAGGAACCAGTGGAGTTTTCTGATGCATTCTTAAGTTTTAAACCCAAAGCCGGACCGACCTAACTCAACCTCACACTCAGTCAGACAAACATGTTATCAATCAGAGATGGGTAGAGTACCCCAAAAAATCTACTCAAGTAAGAGTAGCACTATGTCAACATACACTTCCTCAGGTATAAGTAAAGAGTACCCATCCAAGAAAGTACTCAATAAAGAGTGAAGAAAACATCAATCATTTAATAATTAAAAATTACATCAAATGGACCAAAATATAAAATTATGTGGAAATGTTTGCATTTTAAAGACCATAGTTCATATAAATAGAATAATTGCCAAAAAAAATCCACATCTATTTATTTTTATATAAAACTCAAGAAACTAAGAAAATCTGCAGGTCTGGTGAAATTTTGGTTCAGTAAATCAGTGGGAAAAGTATCTGGAAATTTTACTCAAGAGTAACAATACTTCGTAATAATATTACTCAAGTAAAATTAAAATGTATGGCGTAGTAGAAACACTACCAAAAGTAATTTTCTCAAAGTTACTCAAGTAAATGTAACAAATTACTATCCAACTCCGCAAACTATTGCGTCAGGCAGTTCTCTTGCCTCATGGCAGGGGGCGCTCATGATCCCAGACATTGTGACTCCGCAACTGCAGAGTAAGAGACAGCAACAACGAGCGACTTATGGTTTTCTCCTCTTATCCCAGCAATCACTTATTGATAATCACAAAATAAACATTAAGCCTAAAACCACACCACTGCAACAGACTAAATTATATCTTTGTGTGGGGAATATTTAAGTGTTTTGTTTTGATTTTTTGTGGCGTTGTTGTCAGTAGCTATGGCAACGAGTCTGCGCGTAGCTGCGCTGATACAGAGCAAGAAAGACGTGGTTTTGACTTGAACTTTACGGTTTTCCCTTTGCCGTGGAGCACAGCACGAAAATAATAACATCTAATCTCAGAAATTTGACTGAGTGAGCGGAATTATTTTACGGCATGTAAAAGAATAGTCTTTATGCCCTCCAGAGTTGTCCGCATGCCCGAAATTTTCTTATATGAAGAATAACATGCAGAGGGCCTATATTTGTAAATCTGATTATGATTAAGCCAGCTATGAACCTCAGCGCACAGAGCCTTCACAGTCCGTCTCTCAAGTAGCTCGAGCATTAGCATGTTAGCATATTAGCGCGTCTGGTGCTCCACAAAATGTCGCGTGCCTGAGACAGAACGCGGCGCTCACCATCACACGAGGCCGGGGCCTGTTCGGTCCAATTAGGCCTCATTCGGCAGCAAACGCCAGCAGCTGCAGTTTAACATCTCACAAAGCTGTGATTGTCCCTTAACTGTTGAGGACGACAGTCCCAGGGGGGCTAATTATCACACAAACTCCTACTCAGGTCCACAGAGCCTCACCGGGAAGGCCCGACGACAGAAACACCGCACCTATCATTCTGATTCCAGCTAATTACTTCCAGGTTTACATGGCGGTGACTGTAAGCAGTAATGACACTACTTTGCATTTCAAATAAGATATTTTAATCCAGACTCAGTGCAGCTTCCGAGACGAAGTTCTGGTACGTGAGGAAACTACTTACCGGCATAAATAGTTGAGCTACTATTAATGTCGAACATTCATGAGGAAGACAAGTTTATCTCTGTGCTTCATAAACCTTAACTTGATTAGATTTGACCCAGAAATACCAGTGTGTCATATAGTTGCTTCAACTAACAATTATTTTAGTTATCCAATTTGATTTAACAAAAAAAGGTTCATAATGCACATTTATCTGCCTTATGTACATCATATCAGTTTTAAAATCTGTATTAAAAACAAGGAAATTGCTAAATTTTCAAAAGTCAAAAATTTGTTAAGACACATTTCTGGTTAATCTCAGAAATTTTCTAGAAAAAAACGTTGAAATTTCTGAGTCTCAAAGTAAAAGATTTTCGGAGTTTGGAAACTCAGAAAATGTCAAATGTTTTTTCTAGAAAATTTCTGAGATTAATTTCTGAGATGCTGAATCTCAGCAATTATGTTGAATCTCATAACTCTTATTTTTTGGCAGAAATTTTACTGCCTTTTTCTATCTACAATGCACTTCTAATTATTTCACTGTTGAATTTATGGATTATTTCCCAAACAGCTAGTACTTTTTTATCAATACAGTGGAATTATTCACAAATAGCAAGCTCCTATATCTGGCTGGAAAGTTACTTCTAAGTTAGTTTTGTCTTATTTCACATGTACTAAGATATTTTCACAAGAAACTAGACCAAAAATACTTTGTGAGATTTTGTTTTGTAGTCATGGTTGCAATTTCCTGTTGCTGCTTGACTGATCCTTTTGCTTGTCTTTAGACATAAAACCTCAGAATTAGGAAGAAAGCATGGTGCCTTCTTGAAGACTCTGCAGACAAACAGGAAGCGGAGATGACGATAAAAAAGGGGTTTAATGCGACCACAGCCCCTTCAGTTTGTCTGCAGCTGGTGAGCCATCCTTGATGTCATTCTTTTCGCTTCCTGTCGCAGCTTGATCAGAAAGAGACCTGCTGCAGATTCACATGTTGTTCAAACCCTATCTGCAGTCCTTTGTTATAACGTGTTTCCTCGCAGTGATGTTTTTATTTCATTTTTCAACTCGTCCTCTGTCAGCGTTTCCCCCCTTCAGGACAGATTAAAACCGATTTAAATGGGAAGACTCCAGCTTCATGCAGCCTGTGAAGACCTCTCCAATAATTGGCTGCATTTAGATTTGTCTTCATTATTTTCCTGCGCCTGCAGCTGCAGCAGCGGCAGAATGGTGAAGGCTAACAGCAGCAGATGATGGAGGGTTAACCCTGATAAGGTGATGAGGGCTCCCCCTCCTTGCCTCTTTCCCCAAACAGTAGAGAAAGCGAACCCCCAGTGAACATTCAAGCCTGTAAATTGTTTATCAGACACTAATGCAGGAGCCTAATCCTATTTGCATTCATATTAGTTCTCATATCACCATCTCAGGGAGGACTTATTTGAATTCTACTGAGGGCGAAATAACTTTATGCATGATATCAGTATCTTCATAATTCACATCAGCAAAGTCAATTTGGTTGAAGTGCTGCTGCGCCGTGTGCCACCGAGCTGCAGAGGAAACTTATTTGGAGGTGCTTCACTTCAGCGAGGAAGCGTGGAAGTATATTAGAAACTCTTTCACACGTCTTCCTTCCCTCCTCCATCAGAGGCGGTGCCAGCCACTTCCTTCCACTCAGCGCAGCGATTCGGCAGTGGAGGAAATGCTGCGGGTCTGATCCATCAGGTCCACAAAGGGATAAACCTGCTTCTAGGCCTCCGCCGAGACACCAAAACAAATTTTCACTCCCTCTGCAGGAAACCATCCAGGACTCCACACTGGAAATACCAAGTACTTAGGTTCAAATATCTTAGTTGACTTGAAATAAGGCCAGAGGTGTTCATAAACATTGAACTCAAGTCAGTGTCACTACTTCGTCTAAGAAATATTGAAGAGTAAAAACATATTTGGTAAGAAGTCTACTGAAAGTACTAAGTAACTGATGAAATGATAATCACTTAATATTTAGAAATTACATCATCAGACGGACCAAAATATAAAGTTAAGTGGAAATGTTATTTTAAGGGTGTAAATGGCAGTAATTCATATAATTAACTGTGGATGCACCGATATAAAACATATGACTCATATCAATATTTACAATATTATGTGTATGGAGACAATTTCGGTGCCCCAACTAAAAAAAAATGTTACTAATGCGAATTAGTATATTAACAGGTAATCAAATACTTCAGCAGGTACAAACTGATAAATTTGTACCATTTTCAAACACTTGAATATTATTTCTATTTATAAAAAAATTCCCAAATACTAATACAACAGTTTGAGCCTATAAGTTTTACATAAAGTACAATAAAAAAAAAAAAACACATTAATTAAAAATGACATAATAAAAACCTTTGGGCCTCCCCAAAAAATTGTAGCCCTGGGCTTCTGCCCTATAATTTATATTTATAAAAATCCCAGAATATTAATAATTCACATAATTTGGGCCCATGTGGTGAATATAAAGTACAAATTTTTCTAAACGTGAATTGAAGCAGTGGTTTAATCCAGAATATCACTGGTTTAATCAGGAGAGAATATGGTTTAATCCAGAATATCATGGGTTAAACTTGAAAACTAGTTTAAGCAGAAATAGCAGTGACATAAATGTTAAAAAAAATATCTGAAAACAGAAATTGCATCTGTCCTAAAACAATAATAAAAAAGTCAGCTAATTTATATATTAAAACCAAATGTTTCATCTCTTAAACCAAAATCGTTAAACAGCAAAAGACCGAGAACCGAGAAAAAAAAAAAAGTGATTTTATGTTTATTGTTATTATTATTGTTTTATGTTCCCATATGTTCAGGAGGAAGTGTCTCTCAGTGAATGAAGTGCTGATCTAGACTTCATGGTTGCTGTCATCTACAATGAAGCTTTGAATGTGAGTGTTTGCAGATGATGAGCAGTTACCTCAGACGATGATGAAAACAGGAATAAAAGTGTCAGGATGAACCGAGCTTCGGGTTGGTGATGAAAGGATGCACGACTCAGAATGAAATAAAAAAATATGCTAAAGAGTTCTGAAAACATTCAACATCTCTTAAATCTACTGTGTGACAAGCACACAAGTATAATTACATCCTATACCCACAGACTCTGCAGAGAGGTAATAAAAAGTGAGCAGAAAAGTGTTTTTGAAGAAGAAAGTGAAAGGCTGTCAGGAGGGCCGGGCTTTGATCAGAGACGCCGTTTAAAGGCAGAAGAAAAGCTCAACGTGGAGCTGAGAACAAACAGAGGCGCTCAGCTCATGAATAAAGACTGTTTCTGTCTCTGGACTCACCTGATCTGCCTCAGTGACCACCAGCACCGCCACACTGCCACCTGACTCCCCGGCTTCATCCTGATTGGTCGGATCAGACGTCAGGTCGGGTCCTGATCGGTTCTGATACACATCGGAGGCTGATTGGCGGTGAAAAGACACTTATGGAGAAATATTGTGCGATTTAGTTTTCATAAGCTCAGGCAAAGTGTAAAGAACCTCTAGGGGGCGCTGTTTTAAGCAAAAACCACTTTAAGCTGCTTCACATTGAAATAATTTAGAATAAAAATGAGAAGCAGTAATCTCAAATCAACTGTCCAGAAACAAAGTTTAAAGGAGACCTTGGGCAAAATTCACATATTGCTATTTTTTTCCCTTTCATTTGAGTTTCTACTGCTTCTAAAAACAGTCCAAACATTAAAAAAACCCCATCCATTTATTGGTGATAAGTTAATGTTTTTAGGTGTCTGGAAAATTTTTGTTTCAGGAACTTCAGGAAGCTTACTGCTTTGGTTGCAGTAACCTAGCCACCAAAGCAGCGGTCCAGTTTCGGCAGATGGTTTGACTGCTGTACAATGGCTGCTAGCGGAAATCACCTACTGCTTTCTTCTTGGTTGCTCAAGATTCTCTACTTGAAAAGACACTTAAAGATGTACTTCAAAGATGTACGGTTATATAACTCTGCAGAACTTAGCAGACTGAAATCTGACTTTCTAAAAATGTGCAAAAAATATAATGATCATGTTTCATGTTTAGCCCACAGTCTTATCCTAACCTATTCAAGAAAGCATAATGCTCTTTTTTAAGGAAACGTTCACCAGCAGAGACCTCAACCAGTGAAAACTGAAACTACAGACATCATAGAGACCAGTGAGAAATATTTGTTCTTGCTGTCTCTGATAGAGGTGTGAAAATTGATCCAAAATATTGGTAAAATCAATACCAGTATCAGTAACAGATTGATACTTAAGTTTCAGATTCCCACCCTTGAAATTTTATTTTATTTTTGTAATTTCAGTTCTCAACTCTACCGTGATAAATTTTTTGATTTGCTCTCAAATTATAATTTTTTTTGCAATTTATTTAGAAAACAATGCAGACAAATTTGTTGTCATTTAAATAGTTTTCACACTTGGAACCAAGCTGATGCCCAAAATGTTTTTATTCTGAAAAATTACTAGAAAGCAGAAACCGTTGAAGATCCTCACGATACTTTATGTCACTTCTTCATGTTGTTGGATTGAAAGAATCCTATGAATGAAGACAAAGGTCGGGCCGCGTCTTTTAAAAGTGTTTGTTGCAGACTCAGAGCCTTTGTTTGTCTCTTTCAGGTTGACGGCAGACCCACAGATTCTCATTTCTCGTTCCTGAATCAGCAGCTTTGTAATGCTCGATCCTGAAGCAAGGTGTTGTCACATCAAACAGAGCAGCAGTGACTGCGGTGAAGCTGCGACTTTCTGAGCTGTTTCTGTTTGTTTCTGAGGCCTCTTCGCCGTTTGTCTCGGCTCTCAGGTCTTCATGTTAAAGCCGCAGTGCTCACAGTGCAGAAGAGCACATGCCTCCAAGAATAAAGGTGCTATCACACTTCAACCAGCTTCCTGCCGTGGTTCTCCTGGTGCACTTTGACCGACTGCAGACTCACTCCTCCCAGGCTCTCAGTGCTCAACTCTCTGCAGAAACAGTCTAAACTGTGAATTAATGCTTTCTTTTCACAGAATCCATCTAAAAACTTCAACCTGTCATTTAATTTGAGAAGCCAGGTTCGTCTGCGGCTCGGGGAAAGTTTTAATGTGTCGGTTTGGGGTTTATAAGACCTAAACTCAGCTGGTCTTCGAAAGGCTAACCTGAGGTTAATGTAATTTAACCTCAGGTGTATAAAAAACACACATCAGAGTCTCCACCACCAAAGTAGAGAAAATCAAAACTGTGCTGCAACAACTGGTAGCATTCTGTCTGAATTCATCCGTCTCTCACAGCAGTTTTATTTAACTGAACAGAGCCAAACCAATTCAAATCTACGACTTTCAAAGACTTTTTTTTAAACCATTAAGATTGAAATTTAAGACTTGTAAAACAATAGACATTTACAGAAGATTGAATATTTTGCAATGCTTTCTAATGACTGTTTTCACACTTTATAGTCTGGTCGACTTGGTTTGATTGGGTAACAAAATTGTCTTATTTTTTACATTTTCACAGTGGACTGTGTCAAACAAACCAAACCCTTTAAAAAAAGGTTCTGCTCACCTTGGTCCATGCAGTCCTGGATCTGCTCCTCTGCAGCTGGACTGAACTCTGAATGTCCTGATGAGTTTTCTTCATAAGTCTGTGTTGGAAACTTGTCTTCTGTCTGGACCTCTGGTTCCAGCTCTTCAAGCACTTTGTCAGAAATATCATGATCATCTCCAAGACTCTTTGGATTCTGGTCTGGCATCAGTTCCTGGTCATACTGAGCCTCTGCAGCTGAAGGTGACGGAGGATTAGAGACCTCTTCCATTTTAGATGAACTCTGAGGGGAGACACACACAGACAGAAATGAGCAAAATGGCTAATAAAACTTCACAAAGTTGCATTATTCACCCAACTCAGATCAGGAAGGTGGAACTTATACTCCTAGAAGTGTAAAAACTGAGAAACACTCACTGCATGCATGCCATAGACCGCATGCCCGTCTTGGCTTGTAGATAAAAGCTACATGCTAATTTTGCTAATTCCGCAGTAAGTATTAAAGTCAATATCATAGATATTTATCTTAGTTTCACACAGAGGTGGGTAGAGTGCTGAAGAAACTTTAATCGAGGAATAGTTTTACTGCACTTATATCAGGGGTGTCAAACTCCTGATAGTCCTCCAGGTCCTGCAGGTTTTAGATGTGCCACACAAAGATTTGTGTAATAAAAAGTTAAAGTGAAGATTGTGCAGAGAAACTAAACTTATTCTAACAAAGTGGTTAAAAACATCTGGACACATGGAGAGCAGATCACCTGAGCAAGATGGAGCAAGAAGGTATTGTGAAGTCGATGGGCCTCTGGCCACCTTTTGTTAACTAAGCCGAACACTTGAGAGAGAAAAACCTAAAATTGAGACATAATGGTTGATGTAATCAGAAGCACACATTAATAGATCTTGTGGCTCCTGTTTCTCAGAAGGTTCCCTGTTTGCTCAGTGACAGATAAAATTCAGAGACCTGCAGCGTGTAAACTAACAGGAAACCTTTACATCACTGAAATGATGATGTGCTCTGTGAAGAATCTCGCTGCTAACACTTAGCAGAGGAGTCCCAGGGGTGGTAATTATGTCTGAGCTCAGATAACAAGGAGCACATTTCAGACTTGAATAATAACTATTAAAGAAGAGTGTTTTCCAATTAATTAAACACACTGTCTTTATGTAACCTCTGGACATTTGCCCTGCGGGCTGAGCTCATTTATGAGCTGCTGCAGGAAAACAAACCAAGCTCCTTTCATGTGAAAACCCTCACAAAGTACCTCTGAGAATATCTGCATATTTCCCTGAATATTCAACTTTGTTCATGCAAATTGTGGACATAACTTTTTGATATGATAAAGCTGCACCACAGAGTCATTTCAGGCCTGCTGGGGTCTCCACTCTGCAATGATGAAAGAGTAATTAGACCTTTTTCTGAGCCACTGCTTCCTACTGCAGGAGAGGCAGAAGTAGAAGAAGAAGATTGTTCACCTATCCTGCTGCTGAGGTTTCTAATGAAAGGCGCTTAAAGAAGCGTGAAAATACCATTCAGAGGAGCAGCTCGCATCATTTCACCAATCAATGCAGCCAGGCTGGTGAGGAGCTTCGCACATTTCTCTGGCTTCATTGGGTCGAATCAACCTTCGCTTGGCACCGAGGCGAGAACTGCGTAGATGTTTTCATGCTTTAAACAGGGAAACTTTCAGCTGATTCAGCAGGAAAACTGAGCCGGGTGTTCCCCTGGAGAACAGATTATGACCTCAGTCATGATACCGACTTCTGGTCGACTTGAACTGCATCTTCTGATATTTGGTTTAGAGCTAATATTTTTGTGGTAAAAAGCATTGATTTAATTTGGCTTCAAAATAGCAGATGCCCACTGCTATTTCAGGGTTTTTTCATATTCTAAATCAGTCCAAATACTATATAATGAACTGACAAAATGTGGTCAGCTGTTCTTTCTGCTGTATGCGCTGTACAATGGACGCTGGAAAAGACAAGAGTTTTGTTGTTGGTTGAAAACAACTGCAATTGGTAATTTAGAGTTTCTGGTTTTTGTTCCATTGGTGTTTTGTAATTTGTTCATTCATTTGTGATGATTTTTTAGCTGTTTTTGACGTGTTTTGTTCCCTCATGTTTGTTTTTTAGTGCTACTTTCCCTGCTGACGTTCTTCCTCAGTTGCACTGCATTCCACTAATTAATCACACCTGGTTTTCTTGTCACTCATTCACCTTCCCAGTAGTTCAAAAGCCAGTCAGTCAAACATGGAGTGCCTCAGGGATGTGTACTCAGTCCACTACCTTTCTATTATTTACATTATTAAACTTTTTTGAATTATTTTCCAAATTGCTCTGCAGTTTCATTGATTAAAATAACTAAACATAAATCTATATCAAACCAAAACCTTTGCACTCTTTGCTGGACTATGTTGTAGAATGTCAAAGTCTGCAAATCAATAGGAAAATTGATATTCCCTATAGGAAGTTCCTGGAAAGGCTGCTCTGCCTGTCCTCTGAGAGCTTTAGTTTTGGCGTCCTTCTTCAACACTAAACACAATAAAAACAAAAAACTTTCATTTAAACTACTTTCATGATCCCTTTTCTGAATAACTGCTACAATGTCTTGATTGGTATAATTCACTAAAGTGCTTGAAAGGCTCCAAAATGTCCAAGACCCTGAACACCCTGAACACCCCAAACCTCCAACTCTTACTTCCAGTTGAATCTTGTGTTACTATTAAAGTGTTTTCTATACATCCCTGAACTTTATCCATACCAGCATCAGGTTGAACTTTTCTTCACTCCTAACAATGAACTGAAACTTTTTAGGTTCTTCTTTATGCAGAAACAAAGACAAAAGTTTCATTGTTGGTTTCTACTGTAGCAAAGACAGGAAAAGGTGGCTTCCATCTTTTAAAAAACTCTCATTAAACTCTCATAAATGACCCATCTCTCCATAGTTACTCCAAAGAGTATAAATCAACCCACATGGACTGAACGTAGAGCAGACAGTTAGGGATCTGCTGAGGTATAATCAGACTCACCAGGTGATAAATATAGAGCGTGGCCCTCCGACTGAACTCTTGCCTGTCGATGTGAAGGGTCCAGCCTGATGCTGCTCATCCAAACAAAGGAAACCCACTTCTCTTTCTGACAGCGAACACACCACTGATGAGCAGCAACAGACTTTTCACTCTCTCCCTGCTGAGAGAAAAAGCTTCTGCTCTGCTAATTATAGAGTCTACAAATCAGATTAACACTCAGATCTTTTACTCTGCGACTTCAATGAGCACAAAGAGTCATGTTTATTTGAACACACCCTGCAGGGAATCAGACTGAACATTTCAGCTGGTGACATTAGTAATCAAATATTCTAGATTAAAATGCAACAGACAGAAATATAGCCGTCACTCTGATCACTATTCCTGATTTTATTGTTTTGCAAAGAATGAATTCAAAACATCTTTACAAAAAGCTGATTACAACTTTGCAAAGTTCAGCATGGGTTTGTTTTTACTGTATTGTACCATCTAATAGGCCACAAATGTGCTATTTTGTTTATGAATTCTACTTTTTTTAAAAATATTTACCTTATTGCATAACTTCTAACAAGACAGAACGGTCAAAAAGACGACACAAACAAAGAAATCTAATAGTGAAATGTAATTTGTCAGCAACAGTGAACATGTTTGGTTGAATGCATTCGTTTGTTAAAAACACATTATTTTGTTCAAATTTATTTTAAGTACAGAATTTTCTTCCATATTAACATCTGAAAATGTTCTAAAATTACATCAAATCCTGTTTTGTTTTTTTTTTTTCTGGTAATGGCCGTAGTATTTTTTTCCCTGATGACAGTAAACGTTGCATTTTGTTTGGCAGAGAGTGAAAAAAACATAACTATGCTCAATGATGACACTAAGATCAGCGTTTTGTCCAATAAAGACAGTGAATGCAGCATCTTTCTAACCAGCAACTACAGTGAGTTCAGCGAATTAAGTATGAAAAGTGAGTGGAGCATTTTGTTCATTTAGGACAGTGAATGCAGCATTGACAATGAAGGCAACAGCAGTGACTGCAACAGTTTGTTTAATTAGGACAATGAACATTCTTTTTTCCATGTTCACTGAATGCACCATTTGCAACACAGAAACTTTGCAGAAGATCTTTTCCTTTATCTGCATCTCTTTGTTTTGCCACTTTGTCCATATTCTGTTTGATAACATAATAAATTCACCTTTCCAGCACTTATAAGTAAAATATATTTTTAAATTGAATTGTTTAGCTCATAAGTTTTTAATTATGAAACAGATTTTTTAGGAAAGTTTAGGAGGTGAAGGAAATTGACCTCCTTTGATGTTAGGCGCTAAGCCCAGAGACCACGAACCTCAGGTTGGGAACCACAAAGCTTTGTCCGGGACTCAGGTGTTCTCCTAGTGTTCACCTGCATGGCTTTGTTGAGGCGGGAGCGTCAGAAAGTGAAGGAGGTGCGTGTCTGAGGAGGAGGAGGAGCCCAGCCTCTCCTCCCTTTGCGTGTCTTCAGTGTGTCCGTGGGTTCCGCGGCAGCAGGAGTGGAGAAGCGGTTGCTGAAACTCAGCCGGCACCTGAACGCACCTGCGATGCTCCTGGATGCTCCTGTCCGCGCTCTCCTCCTTCTGTGCGGGGAAACTCTCCGATGTGAGCTCGTCTGTGCGTAAAGGTGTCCGGCTCCGTCATGGCCTATCCTCAGGGGTTCCTCTTCCAGCCCTCCGTGTCCCTGGCTCTGCCCTTCAGCTCCGGGATCATCCTGGGTCAGAGGACCGAGGGCTCAGCCTTCGCTCCGTACTCCTCATCCGCGACCTCCTCCCCCGGGTTCAGCTCCCACTCGCCGTACGGAGGAGAGCCGCGGGCCGCCGCCACCATCAGCTCCTTCATGGTGAGTGTCTGGTCCGAGCTGCGGGCTCCCGCTGTCTGCGTTCAGCTGCGGGACAGAAAGTGAAAGAAAAGTCTCACGGGAGCAAAAAATGAGAAATGTGGCGTAAAAACTGACTTTAGAGAATGTTTGAATGTTTAAAGTAAGAAATGTAAATAATATTTACTCTAACTTGGATAGATAGATAGATAGATAGATAGATAGATAGATAGATAGATAGATAGATAGATAGATAGATAGATAGATAGATAGATAGATAGATAGATAGATAGATAGATAGATAGATAGATAGATAGATAGATAGATAGATAGATAGATAGATAGATAGATAGATAGATAGATAGATAGATAGATAGATTAAAGTCAAACATTATCATTGCTTTTATAAAATAATGGTTCAAGTTATTTTTGGACAAAAAAAATCACCGCCTTTCTCTGCCTAAAATATGTTTTAGGCAAAAAGAAAATAACATTTGGCAAAACCTGCCTTTAGGAAGGTGACGTTATATAAATTTCTACGTTTAAAAGTGAATAAATTTGAATGTTCAGCCGTAATTCCACTCTGTAATCTTTAATCGCTGCTCACAGATTGTATTTTTACCTTTAAGTGTTTTTGTTTGACTCAGCAACCATATGTCTTCTTTTTTCTGTTTGTTGAAATTGGCAATGATGTTGTGAATGAAGAAGAACTGAAGTGCTGGTCACTTATAGGTTGTTTCTGCATCTTTGCTGCTTTGGGCACAGATCAGATTAAATTACTTCTGTTTCCCTCACTGACATAATCCCATTCAGATTAGGAATCTGCTTCAGCATCTCCCCAGACTAAAGCCAGTTTTTAATGTCGCAGAACCCGGGCTATGATCCGTCCTCGGCCGTCTCCGGATCCTTGGACTACCATGCCTTCGGGCCCCTGGGGGCCTACCCGTACGGAGACCCGACCTACAGGAAGAACGCCACGCGGGACGCCACGGCCACGCTCAAGGCCTGGCTGAACGAGCATCGGAAGAACCCGTACCCCACCAAGGGGGAGAAGATCATGCTGGCCATCATCACCAAGATGACGCTGACGCAGGTCTCCACCTGGTTCGCCAACGCTCGGCGGCGGCTGAAGAAGGAGAACAAGATGACGTGGACGCCGCGGAACCGGAGCGAGGACGAGGAGGAGGAGGACGCCATCGACCTGGAGCGCACTGAGGAAGACGACGAGCCACTGAAGCTGACGGAGGAGGAGACGGAGCTGCGGAGCGACAGCGGTGAGTGCACCGATTAATCGATTACTCAATCATCAGTTAACTTCTGTTTTAAATTCAAATTCAGATATATTTCATTGATCCCAAAGGGAAACAAATGCTGCAACTCTTATGCATTCAACACTCTTCAGAGAGTTATTTTAGGTAACTCACAGAGTTATATAAAATAATTGATTAATCGTGATTAATCAATCATTAATCAATCATTGATTAGTGAAATAATCGTCAACTAATTATCGATTACCATTAAAAGGCCATTTTGTGACAGAACAAACTCAGAGCAGAAATTAAACCAAAACTGTACAAAAAATACATTTTGTTTTTGTTTTATGTTTTAATGCGAAAGATCTGGCGTCCACTGGAGCAATGTTATTAGACTGAGCAATAAAATGTTATTTAAAAAGGGAATTATTTACTTGCATCTTTTAATGTATTTCTAAAATTGCATAAAAAGGCTTAGATTAAAAAATCTACAGAATGTGGCAGTTATTTTTAAGCAATTAATTGCCGGAATGATTGATTAATCGATAACTAAATGAATGAGCCTCAGAACGAAGCACACATGAAGATGAATCAGACTGTGGAGGATTTTCACACCTGGGGGAGCGAAAGCAGGGAGATGGAGCTGGAGGGAGTAGCTGCACAAACAGATTCCCAGAGAGGAGGAAGCAGGACGTTCATTTCATCTGAAGCTTTTATTTAATGAAAATATCCCACAGTATAAAAATCTGATTTTCCGTTTTTGGGAAAATGTGTAGATAAATAAAAAATTTAAAAAATCAGATTTGTCTGAGTTTAAATCAATTTTGTCTTTAAAATCTGACAGTTTCATCATTTTTAATATTTGAGGAGGATTTTTTTTTTTTTATTCAATCTGCTGAAAGAAACATGGGGATGTTTTTCCGATCTGCTCTGTTCACAGAAAATCCTGCAGGTTCAGATAAATAGATGAGGTGAATCTGTTCTGAGGTTTAATTTACGATCAGACTGAATCCTGGATGAGAATCTCATTTTCCTGACATTTAAATGAGACAAAAACCAAAAATCTGATCATCAGGACTTCTGACTTTAACAACTTTCTGAGTTCATCTTGGTATTTGTTGGTTTTTAATTTCCTGCTGCAGGAATTTCTGATTCATTTCTTTATTTCCAAAAGTAAAAATTTATATCCAGAATTTTAAAAAGTTTACAGATAATTGGTCCTGACCAATAGACAGCCGGGATTCAGTTTCCTGACTTATTTAGGTTTTTGTCTGTATTAAAATTCGAAAAAATATCCCCATTTATAGATCCGGCCCATTTTATTCTATTCCTTAGATGTGAGCAGATCAATCCAGAATATTGATACCATATCAGTATCGAATTGATAATCAGCGGGCAAGATTGAAACTTCAGCTTCAAAATGTTATGTTGAATTTCTATTTAATTTATCCTCACGTTTGTTCTGCAGTTTCTCAAAAAGATTTAGTTTTTATTTGCTCTCAAAAAAAAAAAATAATTTTTTGCACTTTAGTTCAGAAAAATCCCAGACAAAATTGTTCTTTTCTATTATTTCTGTTTATTATATTGATTCGTCATTGAAGTATTTTGTAGATACATGTAAACTGCATTCAAGTTCTGTCCGAAGTTTTAGCCAAACAATTTAATTTGAGCATTTGAGAAACTGCCGCCATCTTCGCTTAACAACCAGCGGCGCCCTCTACAGGATGGCGGCCAAAATATGACACTAAAAGAAGGCGTAAGCTGACGTCATTGGAATTAACTTTAAATTAAATAAAATCTTTACTTAGAAAAAGTGAAATCTCACAGAAATTAAATGATTAAATTAAACCCATAATTGCCTCATCAAAATATGTCACATCTGATGTCACAATTTCTGCTCTTTACAATTTATGTCTATTAAATTAATTTATTGTTAAGATGCTTACTATCTAAAGTTTCCTGTAATATATCCATTCAGCTATATTTGTTATATTTTTCTGTTTCTGATCAATTTTGTTTGTTGTTTTTCCTTGTTCTGATCCGCTTCTCTTCTCTCCACAGGCGTCCATCACTCGTCCTCCTCAGATTCCAGCCGGTTGGCGTTCCAGAAGGACCCCGGCATCGACCGGGCCCCTTTGGACCAGAGGTTGCCCCATGTTGCGGCCCCTCCTCACAGCGGGCCCCTGGAGGCCCTCAGAGCCTCTGGATCCGAGCGTACGTCATCACCGAGCTCCTTGGATTCTTGCGGCGCCACCCAGGGGCCGAACCCGGCCCCGAAACCCAAACTGTGGTCCCTGGCAGAAATCGCCACGTCTGTGGACAAAAACACAGGAAGTAGCGACTCGCCGCAGAGCAGGGGGCGGAGCTCTCTGAGCCACGGCCCCGCCCTGCCGAGGCACCTGTACTACGCCTCCCCGTTCATCCCTGGATACTCCAGCTTCAGGCCGCTGGGGCCCCTGCAGGCCGGCCCCGGCTCACACATTAACGGATTACAGCAGAAGATGCTGCAGCGGGCCGAGGCCGCAGCCAGGGACTGCCGCCTGCGCAGCCAGAGCCAGACAGAGCTGCAGGAGCTAAAGAGAGGCATGACGAACGTGTAGCTGCTCAGAGAATCCTGCTGAACTTTGACCCCGAGACAGTTTCACAGCTTTTCTATGTTGATCAGATGTAACCTTTGTAGTGCGTTTCTGCACCCAACATGACATGTCATTGATTAAAAAATAGTTTTATTAAGATGAAAGTGAGCGCCTGCGTTTGTTGGCAGAAAGTTCCTGCAGCTGCACTGCAAAAACAGAAAAACCATAGCAAATATTTTCAATCTGGTTTCTAGTGCAAATGTCTTAGTGCACTTAAATTAAGACAAAACTAATTTACACTTAGCTTTTCAGCAAAATGTAGGAGCTTATTTTAAGTAAATAATTTCTTAATATTGATGAAAAAGTTCTAGTTCCTGTTGCTGGTTGTTCTACTTTTAACAAGATTTTTTCCCCCATGTTATACGTAAAATAATCTGCCAGTGGAACTAGCACTTTTTCACTGATATTAAAGAATTAAATACTTAAAATTAATTCTTTTATTTTGCTGAACAGTTACTTGTACATTACTTATTTCATGTTTAGCGAGGTATTTGCACAAGAAATTTAGACCAAAAATATTTGGTAAGATTTTGCGATTTTGCAGTGCAGAGAAGATCAGATATTATTTTTTTTATCAGTCCAGTTTATTAATCTGCTTCTTTAAAGCAAAGATCAGTTTCAAAAGTGCCAATATGAAGCATCGGTGGTGTGGGTTACTAATGTGCCATTATTGGAGTTTGTGTTTTCTGAAATAATAAAAAATACACAAGACAGATATATATGAATAAATATAAAGAAAGGCTGGACAATATAATTAAAAAAACAGAAAATATTACCAAGTGCTTTGTGTCTAAATTCTTGGAAAATCATACACTTGAAATAAGAAAATTGATTTACAAATAACTTTTCGGCAAGATATAGGACCTTATTTTGAGTAAATAATTTCTTCATATTGATGGAAAAAGTTCTATTTCCATTAGCAGATTATTCCACTTGTAACAAGATTTTTTCTCAAGTTATAAGTAAAATAATCTTCCTATGGAACTAGAACTTTTTCATCAATAATAAAGTAGTATTGATAAAATTAAAACAATACAAATGAAAGAAAATACTCTCAAAACGTTGGTTTTATTTCAGTCATCCTTTCTGTGACTTGTCTAAAAATTGTTTAATGACTACAATATTGTCATATTAGCAGATTAAAGACACAAAAATCAAACAGCATGAAAATTAGGAAAAAAAAGTCACTTTAATGAGAAAATTGTTTCTATAAAGTTACTGAGATCGAATGTGTTTCAAAATCCTGTCACACTGATAATAATTTGCTCCTATCAGTTGCATCTGTGTTACGGTCCGACCAGTAAAGCACAAGGACAAAGGTATATATATGAAAAATATATATATATATTTTTTATTTTTCCCAAAAAAATCTTAACAAAAGGCTTTCAACAACAAATCTAAAAAAAATATAGCAAAACTCAGGCATACCTAACTCAACATGACAAACCAAAACTGACCTCACAGGGAATTTATACACAGATGAGGAGGGAGGGAGAAAAGACAAATAATGCATAAACATAAATAACTAATGCAAACTAAAACATTTTGACTTTAACACACCTATAAAAACAAAATAACCTAAGAGCAAAATGTTTTAACAATCTTAAACATCAAGTTTTCTGCTTCCAGCAGCCAGATGGTTTGTTCCACTTCCTGGTTTTTCTTACAACCAATCATCTTCCCCCAGCCAGTCCTTCAAACTCAACAAAACAAAACAGTTACTGATCTAAATAAACATGAAGTGTTCACTAAATATGTGCATCCAAATTAGTAAAAACGTAATGCAATAACCGCCACCAAAGAAAAAGTGAAATGATGAATATATTGTGTGAAAACATTTAAATAAATACTACCACTGGATACAAAACTAAATATATGTTTTTTTATTTTATAAAACCTTCATTTCTCACATTTTCCTTCCCTTGACACAGATTTTTCTGTGTTTTTTGTTCCAGTTTTAATCCTGATTCTTGATTCTGAAAAGATTGAATGAACAGATCAATCACTCTAATCAGATTCTGAGCAGATTCCTGATCCTCAGACTGTCGATTCTGAATAGAGTCCAGAAACACTCCAAAAACACAACATTTTGCATTTGGTCTAGTTTCTAGTGAGAATATCTCATTACACTTGAAAGAAGACAAAACTAACTTACAAGGACCATTTCAGCAAGATATAGGAGCTTGTTTTAATTCCTTAATATCAATGAAAAAGTTCTGGTTCCAGATTATTTTGTTTTTAACAAGATACTTTTCTCATGTTATGGCACCAAAACTTTTACATCAATGTCACAAAATCATTGAATGAAAACAAGCTCATATCTTGCTCAAAATTACTTACTTGTAAGTTAGTTTTGTGTTATTTCAAGTGTACTGAGGTATTTAAACTAAAAACTAAACAAAAATACTCGTTAATATTTTGTGTTTTTGTCCTTTTGTCTTAATCCCAAACAGATTCCTGGTTCTGACAAGTTCCTAGATTCTGAACAGATTCAGGATTCACAACAAACTTGATGTGTTGAACAGATTCCTGATTCTCAACAAGTTCCTGATTTCAAAAACTTCTGGATTCTGAACAGAATCCTAATTCTGAACACATCTGAGATTGAGTTGTTTTCAGTCAGTTAGTTGTTCAGGTGTTAAATAAATCAAATCAAATTTTAATCTCATGTTTTTTTTGGGGGTTTTTTTCAGTTTTAATGGTTTCAAACAAATTGTGAAGTCAATTTGTTGATTTCTCCTAGCATTATGATTTCATGATTTTGTATACTTGATTATAAACATTCATGTCTTCAATAAACTTCAAAACTTAAATAGGCTTCATATGTGAGAGAATGCAAATCAAAATATTAATCTTTTAATAATTATTAATTTATAAATAACTGCTATCAATCAGTTCTATAAAAGTGACACATTCATGTATATATGTGTATATTTACACATCCACACAATTAAATGAAAAATAAAAATATAGCAGTGGCATATTTGCACATTTCTTCGGTGCAATGTGAAAAAAACTTTGCACACAAAACTTCAAAAGTTCACATTAGTGCATGACTTCTGACTTCAATTTCCATATTTATTTACATTCAGAGGCTCTGATCTGCGACCAGACTGCAGTGAACAGAGGGTCAAACAGTGGGGATGGGAAGCAGAGCAGACTGGTTTGCTGCAGGAATCACTGGGGACACTGGTGTATTTTTAGGGCCAGCATGTTGCGAGAAGCCGCCCGCTGGTTGGCGCGCCTGTCCAGCTGCCGGAGGAGCCGCATGGCGGGAGGGTTGAGTGGCATCACCACCAGACGTCTGTCGGTCCTGGGGGTTAGACGGCCCACGGCTGGGCCCCTTGCTGGCTCGCCAAGATGCTCGCTGTCGTTTGACGGCATTTAGGTCGCTGTAAACACGCAGCTGGAAGCAAGAAGAGGTTGGGAGGCAGCATGGAGCCACTGAAGAGAGAGTTAGAGAAAGTTTGAGACGCTTTCACGAGTCCCCCAATTAGCAGACAGTATTTACGGATGCTAATTGGGGGAGAAGTTTTATGATCAGAAGCACAAGACACCTGGAATCAGCTGCAGTTGTCATGCCAGGCCACTATATGGCGCTGTGGTTTTAGCACGTCATTGAACGCGCATGCGCTTTTGACCCCTAGCTTCCACCGTACAATCTTCCACCCAACACAGTACGTGGTGCTAAGGAAGATTAGCACAACGTCAACATGTTTTTACTCAACAAAAGGTAAAAATTAGCAATCCAAGAAATGACTCAAGAGTAAAAAAGTATGGTAAAATCAATTATCAATAACTTAATATTTACAAATTACATAATCAGACAGACCAAAATATCAAGTTTTGTGGAAATGTTGATATTTTACTAAAGTAAGAATAGCAATACTTCATAATATAATGACTCAAAAGTAATAAGTACAGCAGAGTAAAAATACTCCTACTCAAGTAAATATAGCTGTTTAAATGCAACTATTTACTACCCAACTCTGACCAACAGTAACCCGTCTGACGATTGAGAACAGCACAGCATTCTGGGAGATGTAGTCTTAGGAAAAGCTACGTTGGTGGAATCAACTAACTCACTTGCTCTTTGGTTACCTAGCAACAGCCCCTTGAGTAACAGCGGTTGAAAGGTTTTGCTGCTGTGCCTCTTAAAAACAAAAACACGTATGCAGTAAAAGCTGTGGATAAAAGCGGAAAGGTTCTGCCACCAGTTTGACAGTATTTAATTTATTTAAAACAAAAACTAATCAGTAATTATTGATATTGACTGATATGAAACACTTATATCGGGATAAGTTCTTCAGCTAATATCTTATAGCCCTATACATGTACAGAAACTTATAACAGATATTTATTATCAAGAATTATTAATGTTCCTTTTACTACAGGTATTGTAATGTCTGTGGCTCTAATTAAGTTTTATCTGGACCGAGGGAGAAAATGTCTGGGTGGATTGTAAAGACGCACTTTAAAAGCTAAGCACTCTGCAACAGTCTGGCTCTCGCTGTTTGTGGGATGAGGAAGTGGGGATCCAGGCCTATTTGCTGTCAGAGATGTAAGAAAAAATATAAAAAATTCAGTGTTTGTATTTTTTCTGAAGACAGAAGGTTGCGGCTTCACTCTTAAACTTCACACTTTGTTGGGCAGCACTTTCTATTCGCCAGGTAATTCTGGATCCTGTCAGTGAATGAAACAAAAATAACAGCCGAAATCTGATCAGAGGTTAAAATGTGAGTGGATCTCATCCACCTTGAAGAACTAAACTGTTTTATACTAATTACGGCAATCAGTCAAGTATTTACTCCACCTTCTCCAAGTTGTGCTGATGTGGAGCAGATTTATTTTCTGCTTGTTTTGTTTGTGTTACAGAACAAATCATTTAACATGTATACCAGAGGAGATTTTCATGAACGCAGCTCGACTGTTAAAGCTGCGTTCAAAGCTCCCGGGAGGATCTTCTCGACCTTCACGCCTCGGTTTGGTTTTAACGGATCGATACCTTCGGTTTCCTCTGATCGGTGCCTGCGTTGCTCATGGATTATTTACTGATGTTAGTCTTACCTACAGCCAGTCAATAATTCAGACTGCAAACCTCAGTCCTGCTGAGGATTCTTGAATTATTATTATTATTTACTGTAAAACTAAATTAATGCTAAAAGATTAAATATGAACAGTTTGATTTGTAAAACTCCCTGAATCCACATGTGACACATTTAGAGGCAAACCACTTTCACAATCTGTGGACCTTCAGCAAAGACGCTGTCACCTTGAGATTTCAAGTTTAGACCTGGGAATCATTTTGATCTGGACCTCGTGTTTTTTTTAGGTGGGTAAGAAGGGCCTTGATTGTTTAGTAATTTAAAAGCAAAAAGTAGAATTATTTTCAAAATAAATTGATTTGGAGATCAACATTTCCTGTTTTTCAGAACCATATTAGTTGGAGATGAAATCCAGAGTGGACACAGCAGACCTGAAGTTTTTTCTTTGACATGAAAACAAAGAAGAAAGGAGAGAAAGTTGCATTTTGTCTCTTTCCACTCAGTGTTAATAATGTCTCCTTTTTCTCTTTTCGTGTTAAAATTATTGCGTAGCAGAAAGAAAAGCAGATCGTATTTCTCGAATAAAACATTTTAAACTATATAAATACAGCAAAAACATTTTTATTCTTGAGTTAAAAAAGAACAACAGGAGATGATGACCAGAACTTTTTAAATCTCGTATTTATATTTAAATAATGAGGCCAGGTTTGGATTCTGCTTTGCTTTGATCGCCCCCTGCTGGCGGCTCAGTCACAAACACTGTTAATCTTCAAACTGTTATCTGACTTTCATGTGTGACAGAATGAATAAATAATACAGCAACGGCTCAAAAATCACAATGAAGCTCTACAACTCAACACATTTACTGATCTTACTACCAATGATAAACTGGTTCAACTTTGTTCCTAAATTGACATTTTTGTTGCTGTTATTTCATTATTTAATAAAAAAACAATATTAAAAACTTCTGTCCCAATGCTGCGTTTTAAACTCTGAAATTATTTCATCCTCAATTTTTATTTGCTTTCCAGCATGAAGAATGTTTTTTAATATCCACCACACCAACATTCATTTATATTCTCATTTTTTTTGTCTTTCTTTCAGTACTTCCTAAGTATTAGTTTGGTTAATTTGTCTCAAACTATGTTTTTTTGTTTTGTTTCTTTATTATGAGCTTTATTTTTAGGTTCTTTCACAAGTGGTCAAACATATCTGAATTTTTTTGAAAGCAAATCAATTTGTAAAAATGTGAAAAAATATCTAATCTTACAAAATTGAAAAAAAATTAAAGGAGTTGTTTGTTGTTATTTTTTTAACCAATTTGGAACATATACTTTTCGAAATGCTTGTTTTAATTTGAATAATTATCAGAACACAGGCAGAAATATTCCATGAAAATGAGGCATCTAGAAAATGGAGGAAAGATTTTCTGCAAAAAATAAATTTGATCAGTTAATTATGATCACATTTTCTTTGAAAACTAAGAAGCAATTTAGGATCAACACTGTGTGCAACGTCCAATCTCATGTCATCTTCAGAGAGTTTTCTTCTGGAACGATGCAGAAGAATCTCTGAGATCTTCACACATTTAATGATTTGTGGACCCATGCAGTGATTGATGGGAACTAACAAGGATTCAAAGTGTCGTCTGCTGGTTTACCAGTTCACTACGACTGTCTGGTGTCGGCCTGAAGGTGCGAATGAAGGTGGATCATCCTGCAGGTAGCTGACAGATGGTGACACTTACTGCTGAACATGAGACAGCAGGAAGCAGCGCTGTGGGTTGTTATGCTTTGTGATTTTATCTGCACATCATCCCACATCCATTCAGCTACATATACACAGTCTATGCTGTGGAAAACTGGTTTACACAAATGTTATTTTGTGTGTTTGCATGTTTTTGTACCTCCATTTGGGTTTATAGTGCTTCTAAAAACAGCTCAAGTACTTAATAGAAACATCCAGCTATAGCTTTTGGAAATAAATGGATGATTCTTGGTGTCTGGAAAATTAGCTATTTCAAAAACAATCTGCAAGTCACAAATCAGGGAAGCCCAGCCTGTTACCTGGCAACCCCAGCAAAGCTGGGTCTTTGCTGTACAATGGCTGCTGGAAAAGACAAGTGTTTGGTTTTTTGGGGATTTTTTGTTGACTTATACCATCCAGAAATCACTTGCTGGATTCTTGTTGGTTGTGCAGGAGGTTCCACTTTTGCTTTTCAAAGGCATATGGTTGTATAATTGCACATTGGTTTCACGTTGATTTTTTGGGGTATGGCCAGCAGCAGTTTATTTGCATTTAAAGTGACAAGAGGTCCTAAAAGAGCTCTTTCTAAAAGGAGCACAAAATAGGAAAAAAAATATTTTCTAAGAATGAATGTGCAAAAAATGTAAAGAACATGTTTTGTATAGATTTATTCTAAGTTGTTTAAGGAAACAAATAGGTTACCTTTAAGTGAATCTGCTGAGTTTCAGTTTTGACCGATTCAGTTTGTTGGTGCTGAGAGTGTATTTTAATATGTGGCTTCTTTGAGAAGTTCTGCATATGAGCTGTGTTCCCCTGAAAACTGCATCAGCCTCATATTAACTGGATCCAGTGCTTGTGCATCGATCATCACACACCACATGAGGATAAAGTAATCCAACTTATCAAACTAGAGGAAAAAGTTAGAGGCTAAATGTGCCACAGAAACTTCGAGTTCAGCAGAAGCTCCCAGACATCCAGGAAAGCTTTAGCTGTCATCTGTGCGTGGAGCGACGCCCCCTGCAGGCCAGGGAGCCTCAGCGCTGTAGACACCTTTGCTGGTAGAAGCTCCACCTTTAAAGAGCAGCATCCTTCCAGCTGCAGGCTGGATTCTGTCTCACCGAGAAGAAAATACCACCGAAACAACCAAAACCAGGTTTATATTTAACATTCAGACATTTTCTGTTCAGGGATTCATCCTAAGTTTACAAAGCACTTGTCTCTTATGTTTTGGCACAGAAAGCAGTTTAAATTCATTAATTTTTTTAAGAATAAGGTATCTGCTCAGATTCAGAATTGTTTTCTGACTTAGGAAGACAGAAAGTTATCTAATAACAAGACATTTTCTCTGTATACCTATCTTGGAACCATTACTTTTTTTAAATATAATTTATTAATGGCTTTATAAACTCTTTTAAAAATATTTCATAAAGTTATTTTTACTGCTGATACAAAACAGTTTTTTTCCACAGACAAATACTTTGGAAAATGAGGAAATAGTTAATACAGAATTACATAAAATAAATACCTTGTTTGACTGGAACAAGCTATCTCTCAGTATCAGCAAAACTAATTTTTTTTGTTTATATAATCAATATTTGATTATAAAAATCTCAAAATTAAAAATGAGGAATTAACGAGAATAAGTTTTGCAAAGTTGAAGTTTTGTTTGGATTGGGTTACATATTTGGAACGAGCTCAACAAGAGCTTAAAAGGGTGAAAATTCATCTCCACCTTTAATAAAACAGTTTTCTATTTTTACATCTTAGATCATTTTAACTGACGATCAGAGGTAACATAATCTGTTCTGTATATGGAATGTAAGAGGAATGTATCCAAGTGTTGTGTTGACACTTATAAATATGTATAAAGCTGTGAACCGAGACTTCCTCTATAAGCTTAATTATTAATAGTTCAGTCATTATGGTATTCATTTTTTATTCACTTTCAGTAGTTTTTCAGTTTAAAAACTTAATTTAGTGAGCTGGATCACTCCCACAACACAACTCTGGTTGGGCTTACAAAATAGTCCATATTATGCTGTTTTTCCTCCTTATTTTGTCTTTCAAGTAAAAGAGAGAAAGTACGACTCTGAAACCAGAATTGTGTAAATCTAAACATTGTCACTAAAAAAATCAATCCTAGAGTTTTTGTCAAACTTTGGATAACGGAAATAACCGATGTTTAGTTTCCTTCTGTTTCTGGTGTTTTAGTTTTATAAACTAAAGTGGGTATTTTAGTATTGAACCTCAGCCGTAATCAGAGCT